CTAGCACATGCCCAGTACATGTCTGTTTAATGAAACATTAATAATACATATACTGCTCTTGAAAAAAAAAACATACCATTCTATGAATGTGTATACTGTATGTTTTTAGAAAAAGAAAGTATACAGATTGTCGAAAATGATTAAATGTTGTTTAGGCATCATTTTGATAACTTGATTGTGTATAACTGTCCAAGATGCACTTGAGTAACATTTTGACTGTTGCTTAAAGTGCTAAATAACTTCATTAATGAGAGAGTCGCCTCTGGACAAGATTTTGTTATTACCGCGGTTACACCTTCGTGAATTTGACTTACACTTCTGCCCGTTTCTGAAGCTTAAATCTCTTAAATCTGTAGGACGACAAACTGAAGATAATAGCCACATTTTCTTCTAAATTAAAATTCATAGATTGCTGTTCTATTTAAAAGGTGCCCTTTCTTAAAGAGATTTTAAATACGAATAAGAATGAATTACAAATGTTGGCACCCTCACAGCCAGAATCCAATCGAGCAAATGGCTGATACATCAAAATGAAGAAACCGATGTTTTACAAAATACTTTTAAAAGGAGATCATATGGCTGTCATCCAGAAGGCACACCTGTGCCAGATGGAACAAGACATTGAGTTAGGGTTTAGAATTTACCTTAGTTTAACCTCTGAGTCAGCATTGTTCACAACAGATGTGATTTTGTTGCAGAAGTTAATGTCAGCTATTTCTAGTCTGTGACGTATGAAGTCCCTGTCGAATTCCAATAAAACTTGTAATACTGCTCCACCTCTATATGTATGCATGTCTCTAAATGTTCAGATGACACATATCATTCTGGTCCAGACGGTTCACGTCAGTTCAGGAAATTAATTATCTTTGAAGTGTAATGCAATTTTGTGTAGGGCAATGGGCACTGATCTCCCTAAAAGGCAGGAGGAAAAAATTGCAGTGAAAGACATCAGAAGTCACCTCAAAAATGATAAACAATGGTCACATTTAAAATAATACTTTACAGGTAAAAGATTTAAAAATAAACACAAAGAATCAGAAAACTAATTAAAGGGTACATTAGCAGTCTATGTACAGAATTGTTTGCAGTTTTAATCAATATTAAATATAGATCAATACAGATCTATAAAATAAAGCACAGAGTTTCATTCATCGTTATCTCAGTAATTGTAAGTCTATGTTCTGAGGAATGAAAAAGTCTGGAAGACATTTAATTGGTCAAGCCCCTGGGGATGAATAAAGTATTTTGAATTGAATCAAAAGACCTGCAACAGATTCACAAAGTTAACTGAAAAAAGACCCAGTCTTTGTTGTAGCAGCAGCTGTCATGTTACTGAACAGACATGACATAGATAGATGTCATTTGGTCACCATTGGAAGCAGTATAAGATCTACACCAGTGATGCTCTGCACCGGGTTGCAGCTGATTGATTTTTCATCAACAGGGATGATGAACTTGGGATCTTGAGTGAAAGTTTCTAGGCTAGCAGCACTGCTGAAAGCTATGCTGTACCTCTGCTTCACATGCCTTGCGCCAGGTTTTCAAATGCAGTCAAGTTGGGTTCTAACCCATTTCTTTCACAGATACTAGACAAGCATGTGCAGTACCTCCCCATTCACTGGTCTCTGTGCCCTACATGCCACACATCATCTCGGTTCAACCCCCAGTGTTCAATAGGGATCAAGTCATGCAGTGAATCGACGGCGACGAGAACTTGTGACATTCTAATCTTGCAGGAGAGCCTTTTGTACACGAGCAGCATTAATGCTCGGCTTTGTCCTGCGTTTGTCCTGCTGAGATGTGCGTCATGTCGGGATGAGCCTACAGGAAGGGCAGTAAGTGAAGGCCCAGGGCCTGATCAATGTTGGGGTGTGCAGTTAGGGTGCCATCAATCACTGGAAGGACAGGCTCCGTAGCTACCAGATGCTCGTGCCCAGAATATCACACTGACGTGATGATGCATCCAAGTTAGGTGTCATGACTCCCAGCCTGTAGCCTAGACTTGTGTTTTTCAGGTTGTCTCAGTTTGAGGTACAGAGAGTTAACGTCTATGTGGTGCCCGCAGATGTCTGTAAATGTCCTGTTAATTGTTTCTGTCTTGGCAACTCTGTAATTCATCGGCCATGACAATTACATTCTTGAAATTAAAATCTGAAGATGGAGGCAGTTAGGAGTTCAAGAGGAAGAGAAAGAAAAGGAGGAAGTGAATGTGTGTGCAAGGCAGCAAGGGGAGAGGACAGACAGCAGACCTTAGCAGTCCAGCGCTGGGGGTGGACGCTGCAATATCATATGTCTCTATTGTGGACATTTTGTTATATCAATGTTTTGTTTTAGAAAATACATGAATGTATTCATGGTGTTTTATTTTAATAGTTTACTTGCATTTACTCCTAGACGTCTGACGTATATTCCTTCTGTAATAAGATTTCTTGTTAGCAGGAAGGTTTCGCTAATCCTTTTAACTATGCAATGTAGCAGTCACATTAGTAATGACAGGAGAACAGTAAGATATTTGTCAACAATGTGTAAATCAAGAGTTCTGAAGTGGTGTACTGAAGAAATATATACAGATGATAGTATATTTCATAATCAAATTGTATTAACTCAGGGCTGTTATGTTAAATGCTCATACTTGCAGTTTTTTTTGTTCTGGTTGTAAATCTTAATGGGAAGAGAAAAGACAAAAAATGTTATTAAAATTGTATAATTGAGCACCATAATTTAAAAGGCAGCATTCAGGATATATTAAAATAATAAACTTCACTATTTCAACGGCATCAAAAGTACTGTAGTTCACATTCTTGCAATACTCGCTACAACCTCTGCTTCAGAAAGTGCATCCCAATATGAAACAAAAAAATCACAATTTTACTCATTTAAAAAAATAACACTGTGCAGGGAATGAAAACCAAAGAAGGTGCCAACTAAAGAGCAAACTACGGCAAATGTCACAAAAAACTGAGCGACAAAAGTTGAGAGTGGGGCAGGAGCCTGGGGCCTATACAGACAGTAAGTTTGCACATGGTGGCCAGGGTCTTTATCACGGGATCCGTTTGTCTTTCCTCTTCAAGCTTCCCCTCAATCTAAGGTCTTCCTAAGGCACAGGGTAGGACGGTGGGGAATCCACAAAGACTGAACTACACACAGTTTGCAGAGACACACGTCAATAATCACACGGTTCAGAGGTGACTTGTGGGATTGCTAGCCGGGAAATCTAGGTCTGGCACCAGGGGGGGCCTCTGGAACAGGAGAGCAATGGACACTGCTGCCAGTCTGTTGACTGGGCCTCCAGCCGTTAGCTCTGCCCACACCTTAGGCATCACCAGGACACACCCACCCCTCAGCTTTCGAGTCCTGATCTCTGGAGCAGGAAGAGGCTTCACAAGCCCCACTCAGGAAGAACTGAAAGAGAAGAATTCGGGGAACACGGGGTTTCACCAGAGGGCGGACTATAGGAGAGGACTTAGACATCACAGGGGGACTCTACAGGGAGCAGCAGAGGAAGGCTCAGGCATCATCTTCCTTCCACCCTCACCTGTACTTGACTTGTACTCACACAACACTAGGAAACAAGGCTGGGGAAAGGCATAATGGACCACATGTCTCTGGAGGCCAAAGCTGGAGAGAGCACTTACTGCAGGTCATTTAGACCATCAACGTTTCTCTGCCTTTTGGCTAAGATCAAGTGTAGTTCGTGCAGTTTAGGCCACTGAAGGACCAGACGCGAGTTTCGTCTGTTTGGTCTGCTGTGGCAGAAAGAGCCAGACGCCGGGGGCCAGCTGGAGCTATTTTCGGAGAATTGCGCTGCTGGACTTGTCCTGTGGGACATTGGTTTTGGGAAACTGTAGTCCATGGGGCTCTTGTGCTGCTCCGTGTGCTCATGTGTGTCGCTTCTGGTTACTTTTCTGTGTTTTCTTTTACAATTAATGTTAGACTGTACTTGACAGAGGAACAAAACTATAATGATGTAGATTAACTGTCTGGTCTGATCTGTGGTTGCACAGATATAAAGAACCTGTTTTGAGTGAAACAGGGTCTTAGTGACTACAAGCTACAACTGTCCAGCAGATTGAGGTCCGATACTATCTATCCGCAGCACAAACAACACACTTCTCTTGTATTTCTGTACTCAGCAGCACAGTAGACTTTGCAAATCCAGTTTAACTCCTCATTTTAATTTATTTTCATGCAGTCTCCTTAATATTGGTTTCCTCCTCTCCTCTCCTCTCCTGCACAAAAACAAGTTACTGTACTCCAGATGGGCCCCTTGACTACACCAACAAAATGATTTTTAAACAATTGTATTTTTAAGAGTAATTCAACTGGCTGTCAATTATCCTTCATTTAAATAAGGAGTGTAAAGGAGTCTCTTAAAAGAAGCAAGATCCCATTTATGTTATTGTATTCAGTAGAATATACTACACTGCTACAAACCTCTATGCAGACGAATAAAGGACTCAACTTCAACCTTTACTCAACAACTTGGTTGAAAGATGATTTATGCGTGTCGCCCCTAAGGAAATCACAGGTGTCTCCGAAAGATGACTGGGAACTGGTAAAGACCCTACAAGCAGATCATGAAAACTCACATCAGGCTCCCTAGTCTGCCTTCAAGCCCCGGGGCTGTGACACTGTGTGAGACTCACCACCTTCCACCCTTGTGCTTATCAGACTTCCATGCATTTGAATGTGTCCATCTACTGTATGGATTTTTAAATATGCATTTAATATGAACATTTCTTAACCAATGCAGGAAACTAACGGGGCCCGTAAATTATTTTGCACCCCAAAAAAAACAAACATGTAATTTCAAAATGTTAACCCCGGTGTTAAAACGTATACGCGTTTCAGACGAACCCAATGCAATCGTAAAACTACATCTGTAACTAAGATCATAATGTGGTCTGTAACGGGGTATTTTTTCGGGCAATTGCAGATACCCCTGTCCGCCCCCCCCTCCTTCACAGCTCCAGCGCCGCCTCGGCGGGCCGGCTGTCGCTGTCAGTAGCGCCTCTACGGGCGGGAGCACGAACGCAGCGGAGCCGGAGGGGCGCCTTTCCGAGCAACACCCACTTCCTGGAGCTGCCGCAGCAACTGCGGAAAAAAAAAAAATACTGTAGTCAATGGAAACTCGGCTTTAAACTTATATCGCCGGATCAAATGGGTCCGAGATACTTCTTCCTTTTTGGGAACGGGTCTGCTCGTACGCGCGGGTTGTAGCCGCAGTTCGCCAGAGTAAATGACACGCACCTTCGCTCAAGGCACAGCGCCGATGTGGGAAGCTCAGTCTGCGGCAAGGGGTAGTCAGTTCATCCCTAGGCTGTAGCCAGGCCGACAGCGGCCTAGGCGCTTAATAACTAATCGTTCAGTAACAGTGATTTTAGTAGCTGTAAATGCATACTTTTTTTTAACGTGAGGTATTTATCCACGTGTTGTTGTTTTTTTTTTAGGTTAACAGCATCTTGCTGTCAGTAGGCTATATTAGCAACGTCTTCAGACTTTTTTTTTTCCAGACTGTTGTTTACGTTTGCAAAGTAATAATTGGTCTACCAGATCAGTTGTTTCTGTTGTTGCTCGTTATTACGATGAATCTTATGTGAACTTTTTCGCATTTCCGGATGTTTTTGATAACCCCTCAACTTTGACGAATAGCGATGTCTGCACCGTCCGCAGAAATGATTGAAACTCCACCAGGATACCCTTTCGAAGAAATTGATTATAATGATATAGAAGTCGAAGAGGTAAGGTTTTAAATAAGGGCAAGTCTTTTATCTAGGCCACTTAGAGAGGACTGAATTCAAGGGAATGTATAATCACTTATTGAAACATCATTTGAAGTCTGCACTTCCCACGGTTAGATGCAATCTTTTCTAGGGGGGCTGATTGATTCGTCTAGGCTTGTTTTGGCTAAGAAGTTAAATTTACTCCCCGCAAAACTGCAGCTCCGCGATTTATTGAATTAATATTTTTGGGATTGTGAAAAGGCTACGACGTTTTTTTTGTGTGGAAATAATCGGCTGAATGTTACATCTGCTGTGTACCACAGAATAAATGCATATAAGTTATTTTTCCTCTGCTCTCCTCCGCATATTTCGGTTATCGCGATTGATTTAAGAGCTGGAAGAGCTGTTTTCACTTTTTAGTATTGTATTTTGTGTTGCACATCTTGTGTGAAGAAGAGAAAATCCCCTTTATGCGAGTGAATTCTACAACAGTGGTTTACAACAAGGCCTTCATTAAATATGTATTGAGTACTGACAACGTAGTTTACTGTGGTTGAAAGGGAAACAACTTACACACTATTTATTAATAGATATCGAGTGGAAACATTAGCATTTTAACCACAGTGCATTCCACAGAGTGGTGAATTGTAACCGTATTTGTTAAGTAGACTAAAACCCACAGTCTGTTTTCGGAATGCCCGCATTGCTCAAAAGAACAGCTTACAAAATAATAAACTCAGTTACTCCTGCTCAATGCATTCGCAAAACAAGGAACTTAGAAAAGGTTTCGCTCTGGGCCAAAATTTGCTTCGATTATTATGCATTATGCAGCCAGATACTTTTCCAAAATCATACTTCAGACACTTTAGAAATGAGTGCCCTCACTCCTTACTAAGCCGTGCTCCGTTATCCAAGACAGCAGCTTCATAATGACTTTACAAATGGTGAGATGTGACTGTAGAAAATGTTAATTCTGGTGTGCCTGTTCTGCACTTCTTGTCATTCCCCGAGAGTGACATGTGAGAATGTGGGACATGCCAAGAAATGTACGCCTGCGAATTTGTGATTGTGTACAGGCCTCGCTGGTTCGTTTGACTCAGTCACACTGCAATGCTGCAGCTGCTCACTGAAAGAGAAGGGAGACATGCTATGGGAATTGTGCTGACAGGTGTGTACCTACGGGACAGCAGCAGGGCCAGAAACCGATAGGACACACGCTTTTTTGGAAAAAAAAAAACAGTCCACCCACCTGAGGGGTCACTCCTGGATAGCAGCAGCAGCAGCAGCTACAGGTGATCTTGCAATAGAGCATCACGGACGATTCATGAACCCAATTATGGCCACCAGAAGTCCCAGGGTTGCCAGTGCCGGTACCTCTGGAATAGGAATGAACTCACTGGGCTGCACTGACTATTCTGTTCTATGATGAATTTCTCTTCTTCGCACAGGAGAAATGTTTGATGGTGGTGGAGTCATGCTGTAGACGAGGTGGGATTTTAATTTAGGAGTCTTTATTTTTGCTATCGGTTATCCATTGTACTGGCATTTTAAGGCTTGGCATCAGCACCACTAATAACCTAATGTTTTGGTTCAGTTATGATCAAAACCCACGTCGCAACAGTCGCTCAGTCCTCCCAGCCGCGTTTTGGGAGCAAGCTCGTGTGCTGTTCTTTTATATTGCTGGCTTTAACCTAGTCCGGCACCTGTGGAAGAGGTTGGTGGAGACATGCAATGTGTCAGCATCTGCTCATGTGTAAAATTCAGCTTTTGTTAGGGCCTGGCAGGTGGTTTTCAGACTGAGTTGGACTAACCGTGGGGACACCAGCAAGGTGCAAGTGACTAACTATACCATTTCACATATACTCTGCTGGACTTTCAGACGTCATCAGAAACGTTTCCAAAAGTAATGTAGTTGTCCTTGCCCAAACCTGTATCTAGAATAAAGTTACCTTTTTCTTGTCTGATGTCTTGAAATGGGTTAGTTTTCTCATTTTAAGAGTATGCTTAAGTGAAAAGTTAGAGAATTATTTCTCATGTTCATTACTTTTAATTGTTCCTTACAGGTCCCTCAATTTTCTTTGCAAGGCGATCTTAACTCATTTTAATATTGCTGTATTTTAAAATGCATTATTGTAGTGCTTTTTTATATAATTGGCATCCCTGTTATCCACCAAAAGAAATTCAGACTTTCACATTTTAGACTGGTGTTGACTGAGTTGTATTCCAAACACATGGGCACTTAGATCCCCTTATGACGCAATAGGGATTTCTGCACCTAAGTGCTTTGGATATAGGGACTGATGTGTTTGAGGTTTTGCTGATTTTTAAGCAATTAGCAATATCATTTTTGAGGCTTAAGGTTCTTACTGCAGAGATCAACTACGGGCGATATGTTGGTTTAGGAAGTCTGTAATTCTGTCAGTTACAGTACATGTGCAGTATTGTCTTTTGGGTGCACGCTTAGCCTTCCCTTCAGATGATGTTTCCTTTTAGAGGAACAGTATCTCTTTTCCACAAGATGGACTTTTTAGCTTTGGGTATCCATTTTCACCGTCTGAAATGGGCACTGCTTTATTCAGCTGAAAGCTTTAACGGGCACATGCAAAAAGAGACAGAAGACCTCAGGTCAGATGCTGAATTTAGCCAATAACTATGTTCTGTTCGAGTGTTAAATCTTAAATTAGTTGTATTTGGATTGAAATACCCACCTGAATTAGTATCATAGTTTGCCTGAGCTATGATATCAGCTTTAAACTTCAGTCTTTAGAAATTGGACTTGTGGTATTCAGCATTCCTCTCCAGCCTTGTGTTAGGGACAGAAGTGCTGAGTTTTGGACTTCAGACTGTACAGCATCTGCTTAGTGTGCTTTATAATAAGTTAAAAAGAGTAACCTTCATGGTATTAAACTACCTGGAAGCCTATAGTGATTGCAAGCTTTTCTTTTTTCCATTCCAAATTTCTTACTGTTCCTGATTGAATTACAACATGTGTAGCTGATTACATATGGAAGGTAACATCGACATTTCAGTTGTGAGATAGTATGCTCTTTTGTCAGCCAAGATGGTGACAAAATTATTTTTCGGTTATCATCTTCAGCACTAGTTTAGTGATTGACTGCTTCAGGTTTGCGAAACACAAGTTGTGTAAATGGTACTTCTTCATATCTCTTTGTTACCTCCTTTAGGCTGGCATTCCAAGGACAATCAGAATCACGTTTTGAAATTGTTTCCCTTTGTAAAACACGATGTCCATCTCACCCACTTTTTCTGAGCTTACCTTGTAGTGCGTTTTCAGCATAAAACATTTTTCCCACTGAAAAGCGTTTAAATCCATTTTCTCAATTTGGCAAAACCGTCGCCCTGTGTACAGTGTGATTCAGATCTTAAAAAAACAGTGCTCTTGCATTAACCAGGATGACTTCCTCCCCCCATTTTGATCAAATTTCAGACAGTTTATTTTAAAAAATGGTTTAGGCAATCAACGCCATATGTGAAAGAAATCGCTGCTGATTCATAGTTTGAAAAAAATGTTCTTCTGTAAACCAGGATGGCTTTTTTCTTTGGAAAGGAAGCTAAAAAAAACTATTCCTTTGTAAAGCAATGTGATTCTACTTTTCACTACAGCCCTTTTTTGCAGCTAACATCAGTGTTCATGCCCCTGGTTCATTTTGCTGCAGTTATGAGAAGGGGGTGTCTTAGAAGCCTTATAACTGTAAGAGCTTCTGTTTCATCAATGGATATCTTTTTCCAGTTGCTCAACTAAAAGAGGATAAAGGAATGACATTTTAGAAATAGAACAGTATGCAAAAACCCGCAGTCACAGGCAAATTGCCTTTCAGTCATGCTAATTATGATGTTTGTCTTAATATTGCTACTGTTTAACAAGTTGCTGATTTGCTGTTTTGCAGGTTGTTGGAAGAGGAGCTTTCGGTGTTGTCTGCAAGGCTAAATGGCGAGGCAAAGATGTGGCGATAAAAACCATAGAAAGTGAATCTGAAAGAAAGGCGTTCATAGTTGAGGTGTTGTTTTTTATACTTCATAGTAGGATAGTGTCTTTTTACTTCAAGGCAAGATACCTCCTGGATGGGATGCCTGTCCATCACAGGGCACACACAGACACAGTGTTAAATGTACAGTATATTCAGAACACAGTTGATGGCAGTAACATAGCTATCATGCCTATCATGTACATTCGTACTGATAAAAAAATAAGATTTTGATGTGTGCTACTAAAAGCTTTTAAAATGCTTAGAAATATCTTTTTAACTTAATTATAAAGACTTACCTTTATAAATATGTAGAATATTACAGAAAGCCATTTCATTGTCTGTAGTTCTCCAGTTTTGTACAACATTTTATGGAGGTAGTATATGGGACTTTATTTTCTGTTTTTTTTTTTCTAAACAGCTGCGGCAACTATCGCGTGTAAATCATCCCAATATTGTGAAGCTGTATGGATCATGTAGTTCTCCTGTGAGTAGGTCTTTTTCATTCTGTCATTCCTTTCCGTAACACGACTGATTAATTGCAGGTCTTGGACTTCTGCAGGCATGTACTCTTAAAGGAGGAAAAAAATGTTTGAATTGTATTTGATGTTTTTGGAAATCCTAGAATGTGCATAGCATTTTGCCATCTCTCTGGAGGATAATTTTAGTATGATCAATGCAAGGGTTAAGTGCGGACAATATCCATCAGAAGGATTGTAGAAAAGTTTGTAGCGTCGTTCCTTTGAAATACTGTAAACAGCTGTGTTGTATAGGTTTGAAGAATCTATTGTGTTTATGAAACCTTTAATAATTTTTTAGGTTTGTCTAGTAATGGAATATGCTGAAGGAGGATCCTTATACAATGGTGAGTTTCTACCAGGTTTTGTTTCATGTAATTTTTAACTACATAGAGTACATAGAAGCATTATGTATTTATTGCATATATGTGTATATACAGTGCCTTCCAAAAGTATTGGGACACTAAAGCCTTAACTGCGATTTTCATAATGAACTAAAATAGGGTCAGTTAATTCAATTACTGTTAAAACATTTTGCAGGACAAAATGTACTGGGGCAATTGGCTGGCAGGTGTCTCTTGTCCGTCACGTGTTTGTTATATATTTAGGCATTTCATATAAACATCATACCAACCTACTGTGTTTTAACTTCAGTGTTGGGAGTCTGTAGTCAAATTTCAAAATGAAAACCAGAGGTTTGTTTTATGAAGCAGGCAGGTTTTAAGCTGAAGGGAAAGAACAAAACTTAATCAGAACCTTAGAACAGAAATTGAGAACGCCAAATTTATATGAGGAAGAAAGTAATCATAGGTCAAGTTACCAAACAGCCAAGACCAGGTAGACAAGAAGTTTTTATATGGATTTGCCATGTCAAAAAATACATATCCGCTGATGCGTATTATCAGAGCTGTCAGTAAAATCTCCACCAACCTACAGAGTTTAGATGCAAAGGTATAAAAATGCACCACTATCAGGAGACTGAAACGGCAAAGTTTCAAAGGCCACATTGCAAGCAAGGCAGCAAGAACAGAAAAGCTAGATTCGATTTTTCTTGCAGTAAAAAGTACAGTTATGAACCGGGAGAGTTTGCAAAGATGAAAATAAGAATTGTATGGCTAGATGGGAACAAGTTAAACCTTAACCAGCATAATAGAAAGGTTAAATATTTTGAGAATAATGGATCTGCAAACCACCTAAACTCTGAAGCACAGTAGAGCTAATATCACAGACCCCTCTGGAGCTGGTTCACTTGTCTTTATTATGTGTGATAGCAGAATGAATTGTGTGGGCTCCAGAAACATTTTGTCTGCTTATCTCCAAGATTATTTACATTATTATCATGAAGCACATACCATGAAGATTGACAGTGACTTAAAACAGACAGCCATTGCAATCAAGGAGTTCATCGGGATGAAAAAAAATGGAAAATCTTAGACTTGCCAAGTCTATTTCCAGATTTCATAACCTGATGAAAGGGTTGATGTCTGGACACCCCAAGAATAGGCACAAGCTCACAGTGCCACTTAGATATCACTTGGTAAAGCATTTGCAATGATTATATATTTTGCAGACTTTATCCAATTATTGCTCCATACTACTGTTAAACCAGATGCTGAATGTTACACTCTGAAAAGCGCTTAATAAATGTGCCCCAATACTTATGGTCACTTGAAATCTCTGGATTGAACTCAAAGTATGTTTTTGTTGTAATATGATCAAGTGTATCTGTAGAATTGCCTCCAAGCTGGGAGGCAGGCATAGGCTGCAAAGGAACAAGTAATAAGTTTATTCCATGCTGAACAAAAGAAGAAAGAAAACACAATGTTTTAGCCATGGAGCCTTCTTCAGGTGTGAGAAAGACAGGTCGGTAAGTAAAGGTAATGTAGCAGGAGAACAAAGGCTGGGAGAGAGGAGGAGCAAGAGGCAGGAGCAGGGGACAGAAAGAGAGGCCAATCAAGAGGTGTGAAGTCAGAATGGGTGCAGAGAGGTGTGACTCTCCCGCCTCTCACTCCTCCTCTCTCCCAGCCTTTGTTCTCCTGCTACATTACCTTTGCTTACTGACCCGTCTTTCTCACACCTGAAGAAGGCTCCATGGCTAAAACATGTGTTTTCTTTCTTCTTTCGTTCAGCATGTATATTATGTAGTACTGTACCTGTCATGAATATTATTCTCACGAGTATGTGTGCGTTAGAGTTTTGGCTTTGCTTTCCCTGCACTTTTCGAGGACACGGTAAATGTCAATGTAATCATCAACTCTTAGCAATGGCACTTTGCAACGTTTCTTCCTGTTTGCCCTGATCAGCTGTCATAGACATGTAAATAGTGGAATCTGATGTCCTTCTCGTTCGTTTTCTTTAACACCCCGTCCCTTTCTTTGTGTTGATTTTGTTTGTGATCACAGTTGGCAGATTTTGTGCCTTGTTTTGTGTAGCTGTTGTTTGAAAGACTGTCCAAGTGACTGTGTTTTCTGTTCACAGTGCTGCATGGTGCAGAACCCCTCCCCTATTACACAGCCTCCCATGCCATGAGCTGGTGTTTACAGTGTTCCCAAGGAGTGTCCTATCTCCATGGCATGAAACCAAAGGCTCTTATTCACAGGGACCTCAAACCACCAAAGTATGCATTCTCCGAGTTATTCCTAGCTTTGTTTTTTGGTACAGTCATACAACATTGAAGCCTAAAGATGTCTACGAAGGCCCTGTGTCATATAGAAACTTTCAAGTGTTTTTGTGTGGAATTAAAAGAGTTTGAAGGAGAAGTAGTTGAAAATCTATTTAACTCTAAGTCTTGAGTCAACATCACGGAAAACTGATGATCTACAAATTTATATCTAGAAAATCGCATTACAAGCTTGAAATGAAAAGCATTGCTTTTGATCACTTATGTTTGCCTACAGTGTGTAGAAAAGATGCTACAGCAGTGAATTTATCTTATCTTTCTGTTGCTCATTAACGCTGACGAATGGGAAAGTATTTTGCTGTAAACCCTTCACTGAAGCATTTTTTTTCTGTGGAGATGAAAAGGATGGCCTTACAACACCGTGTGATATCAATCAGATGAAAGTTAACAATGAGAAAAAATATAGTAAAGTCTAAAAAGAGAATTTGAAAAGATTATATTAAAATCAGAGTGTCTGTACCTTGCAGAATTCCTCGGTTTTCACTGTAATCAAAGAGTGACTGATATCTGACTTTTAGGGATGTGCCAGAAATGACTATAATTTAATTCTGTGTTCTGGGGTTAAGGTGACCAGAAACGGTCAAAGCTGGAAGCTGTCTCAGCCCATCTCTTGACATTAGCATTAAAATAATCGGCAGTTTTTAGGCTTCACAGATTCCACGCCCGGGAGCTCTGAGAATTGATAAATGATCTGTTTTTCACAAAGATTTTTCTCTTTTTGTTTCTGTTAGTTTGTTGCTGGTAGCTGGCGGAACGGTGTTGAAGATCTGTGACTTTGGTACGGCCTGTGACATTCAGACACACATGACCAACAATAAAGGAAGTGCGGCTTGGATGGCCCCTGAGGTTTTTGAAGGCAAGTATGACAGGTGGCTGTAACATTCACAGTGCTTTAGTGCTGATCTGTAAAGAGAAGTTTAATTCTGATTTGTTTCATTCATGAAACTGAGAAGGTTTGCAGTAATCACTCCTTAGATACAGGAAATAAAAAGTCTGGATAGAGTAGAGCGCTTTTTGTTTGTTTTTTTAAAAAAAACCTTTTCCTTCGGACTTGGTGTGGACTTTTCTTAAAAGATGCATTTTAGGGTATTATTGCTAGTTGTAAAACCCTAATTTTTGCAAGCCTGAATCTTTATTCAAATAAGGAACATTTATTAATACAGTAGAGTCCCCATTATCCGACCTTAATGGGACCGATAGTATGTCGGGTAATTGAAAATGGAGGGTAATGCAGAAACTATGTAGACAAATCCAAAATTAATGGAAGTGCGGTATAAGTATGAAATCTGGTTTATTAATCTACTGTAAATCAGAGCTTTGTCTTGAAGTATCTGACCTGTGATAGGCACGCCCTTATTCCTTTGCTGTGTGAACCACAAGAACAAAGCTTCACTGACTTTTTCATATTCGCATTTCTTCATAGTTTTTCTGTCCCTCAGTCCTTCAGTTGAGGCCCGATCAGAGCACCACTTTTCAATCTAATTTCTTTTCCTCTTCCAGTCACTGTCTGTAACTCGTCCCACACCGAATTCAGATGCAGTTTTTTGCATGGACTCACCCTTTAGTCTTTTTAACACTTCAAGCTTTTGTTCCATTGAAAGAACTACTTTCTTTCTCTTCGCACTTGTCATGTTTCTCAAATAATAAAATTATATATACGAGCACAAACAAACAAGCGAAGCTACATCAATGGCAGTATTTGGTGCACTGTGAGACAAAGCAATATGGGATTGAGCAAAATATTGTATGCATGCACACACATACAGTACATAGCATGTATGTATATAGCATGTTAATTGCTGTCAGATAACCGAAACTGTACTGTCTTACAAATTATGGTGTGGTTTAGCTCTCTTAAGTTTTTTTCATTTCATCAAGTGTAAATACTAAAAGCTTTCTATAATGATTTACATTCCAGTATTTTACATTTACCAGGCACGCTGATCAGCTCTGCCATTAGGTCCTGTGTTTAATTAAGAGCAATCTGTGTGGAGCTTGCATGTTTTCATTCCGAGTTTTCTCCCACAGCTCACAGGCATGCAATCCTCTTAATTGCCCTTTGCAAATTGTCAGCCCTTTGCATATGTGCTCAACCATACCTTGTTTCCTGTTCCTGCCCTAGTAGGCCCCAGTTTCATGCCACCCTATAAGAATAAAGCAGTCACTGGAAATGAACTGACAGAGAGATAAATCTTCGTCTTATTTCATGCTTTGAAAGAGATTAAAATATTGTTAGGGTTATCGAGACTTGATAACATTTGGTTATGCTTCCTTTTTCTTTATTTTGGGAATTAGATATTTTAATAATGCCCTGTACTAGCATATTCTGAAGATGGGTTATATAAAAGATCAGTGTGAAATTTTTAAAATGGCCCGTGCTGTTACTCAGCTTTTTACACATACCTTCTCAAGCAGAGTCTTTAGTTTCATGTCTCGGGGTTAGGTTTGTAAATATCTGACAAGCATGTTTAGAGTGTTGTTTGCGAAGGGAATAATGGTCTCCTATGCAATTAAAGCTCTCATTTTTGCCCTTAGATTGAACTCCTCTGAGCTTATTCTTATCTGCCAGAAACATCTCCCCTATCAAAAGGCATGTGTATAACATATTTAAAATATCCAAGCAAGGGATGGAAAGGCTCTGGTGTAATCAACAGAATAATTAACAATCCTTGAGCTCTGGTGTAATTAACAATCTCCCAAGATGTCCTTTTGAAAATTGCTACTGTTTTTTAACAGTACAGATTTGCAACAAAGTCGCTGACAATCTAAAGCTGCTCTGATGCACAAAGCAAATTTTCCGCTAAACATACGAGTGAGAATCCCTTCGATCGCCCTCTGATATTAAAGTAGTTTTTAATGAGCTTACAGCGGATAAGGAGCAGAGATTATAACTTTTCAAACTTCTGTGTTACAGGCAGCAATTACAGTGAAAAGTGTGATGTTTTTAGCTGGGGGATTATTCTCTGGGAGGTAATAACGCGCAGGAAACCTTTTGATGAAATCGGAGGACCTGCATTTCGCATCATGTGGGCCGTGCACAATGGTGAGTGTTAATAAGTAATATTCAGGACTCCATCATTCTTTGGCCTGCATTTGGAAGATTGCTCCCTAGTGAGACCCTAGGAGCGTGATGGGTTTTGGCAGCTGACTTGAAGAAAATATGAGTGACCCACTTGACTTGCAATCAAATTGAAACTTCACTTTTGCCGGAACAGTTCAAAATTAATTTTCTGTCTACGCCATGAAAGTATCAAATAGATTTTTTTACCCTTTGGCCACTGCCTTTTTTTCCCCCAAACAGAAGAGGAGGAACCCCAGCTGCAAAAGCTAAAGGAAGGCTAGATGAATTACTTGTCCAGTGGGCAGGTGTAGTAGGAGCTGGTTAGAGACAATGGAACAGCACTTTCTTTCTGTAGACATGTGGGCCCTACACAGGCTAAATGGGCTAATCAGCCTCATCTGGTTTGTGACCTTTTATGTAATTGCCTGTACAGCAGGAAGAGGTACTTCAATATTAGCTGTGTAGTGAATAGTGTAGAAGACATTTTATATGAATAATTAAAGGAGAAGTTAATCTGGGTGATGAGCATGAGATTTGACTCTTCTAGCCTGTGGTTTCTTTATCTCTTTTGCTGAATATTACGTTTTAAGTATCATTTTGGGTACCAGTGTTCTCATTTTGTTAATACAGTGCATGGAATTGAGTTTTTTAAATTCAGCCCAGTACGCTTCAGGGAACCAGTTCCCCCAAATGTAAATTGATATTATACAGCCAAAGTGAAAACCACATGGTTCAGGGCTTGTGGGAAAATATAGACCCAAAGCTTTTTAATGATGTCTGTTGTTTGCCTTCAATCTTCTTAGCCACAGCTACGGGCTTCTAAGTGTAAGCCCCCCTCATATGACAGTATGTCGTTCCCTTTCTACAGAGTAACACGCACATAGTGTAAACTACCCAGGAGTCACACTTAAATGAAAATAGTGAAACATGTGGAAATAGGCAGCATATAAAGAGATATGAAGATAAAAGTTCTGATGACTTGTATCTAGAAAGAAAATGACTGACAAATAGTTGACGCGTGCTAATATAATAAATTCATGGTGTGTTTTTTGTATTTATCTGTTCGTTAGATATATCAGTTACATTGTCAGGTATTTAACCTGTCTTTCAGGTACACGGCCACCTTTGATTAAAAACCTCCCCAAACCTATAGAGAGTTTAATGACGCGCTGCTGGTCCAAAGACCCCTCACAGCGCCCTTCCATGGAGGAAATTGTGAAGATTATGACTCATCTCATGCGGGTAATTTCCCTACAGATTTATTATTTTCTTCTTTAATGAAGCAAATTAAACAAAAATCAGTTTAAAAAGTCGGTTTGGAATGTGGAAAATCTCCTGATTCTTTGTATTTTTTCCCACAAAAAGAAACAGTTTTTCTGATTCTACTTTATTTAAATGTGACAGCTTATTGTCACCTGCATATGACACTATAATGAAATTTGCAATGTTACATTTGTCAAAGTATGTTATAGTATTATGGTTAGAATTCCCATTAGGATTTGGCTGATTATGAAAAGCTTTGTTACTGTTATGTCATTTGGAAGAAGGGTCATGAATGTTACAAATTCGTGTAACAATGTGTCTTCTCTAATAGAGTTTTATGCTGGCTACATAAATTCACATTCAAGTAGTGTTATCATATTTTGTGTTTCTAGAATTAGAATAATTTAAGTAATAATCATTTCTATGTGCTTTTTAATTTAGTATTTTTCTTTTTAATGGCATGTTTATCTCTATTATTGGCAAGACAAAAGACTTGCTCAGAATATTCATGACGTAAATACTGTAAAAAATAAGAGGAGTCTAATTTTCAGGACCGTATGGTCTGAACTGTTTATTTGATGCTTTTGTAGTTTTGAATCACCTGTGATTTCTGCCGATACAGTTAGAATATAAAATACTTCGTTATGCATTTATGTTCTCCAGATGTTATTTTTTAATTAAATGTGACCATTAAGCCTTGCTTGGCTTATTTCTGGGACCTGTACAGCACATTTAACCTATTTCAGAATGTCCTCACCTTTCTTTTCTAATGATAAGATCATCTGTGACTTGTCAGCCTTAAAAGGTAACATTGTAGTGCCATTTTATATAATTCCCACTTTTTATAGAAAACAGATTTTCTTTTAATGTTGCAATGATAATGACATCTTTGCATATATTTATTAAGGCTTTTTGTCCTGTTCAAGTACTTCCCAGGCTCTGATGAACCCCTCCACTATCCTTGCCAATATTCCGATGAAGGGCAAAGCAACTCTGCCACCAGTACAGGTACGTTAGTATTCTAAGCTACAACACAAAGGTCTTGGCTTTTAAAGGTATGTTGCCGTATTACACACAGTAATAAAGTCTTCAGGTGAGTGGAGAAAGAGGCTACTGGTTTATGTTTTATGGGAATGTACATTTGTCACATTCCCCCAAAAATTAGCTTTAATGTTTTTGTTTTCATTAGGATCTGTTCTGGACTACACCTCTACAAACACCAGTAACAAAAGTGATGCTAATATGGAACCTGTTGACTCCCAGGTTAATGACACGATAAAGAGAAATGAGTCAAAATATGTGCCACCATTCAAACATAAGGTAATAAAAATGTTCTTGTTCTGTGTTCACTGGAGATCGTCTCTTTGCTGCCCCCTTTGTTTAATTTCTTAGTATTTCACCTTTGTCAGATGTCAGATATGAACATTATCTACAACGAATCTCTCAAATTCAAGCACACTAATTAGAAATGATGATTGAAATTGAGCCACCCTGTACACTGTTGAGACTAATGCTTCTTCACATTTAAACATTACTTAACTGACTAGTACTGTATAGTAAATATAATTAAACATACTTTTTCAATTAACTATTAGAATTAACTCTTGAATTACATCACTGGGGAGGTAGTGTCCACAATTATCAATGCCGTTGGGTATCAATCACCATCATTAATGCACCACCTAATTTCAGAACATATGTGTTCCTGGATTATCGTTTTGTATTTGAATAAGTGCTTGATAACTGTACTTGCAGTTCAATGTATACAGATTAAAACTAGACTTCTGTCTCAGGGGGATGCAGTACGTCCGGTCCTACCTCTGTCCAGAGGTGGCAGTGTAGAAAGCCTGTCTGATTCCAGGGGACGGCCACAGTCTGTTGCCTCTGCAGACAGCAAGAGGATGAGTACAGACCTGTCAGACTTGGACTCCAGGATGACATTTGGAAATGCAGGTGACATTAGCATTCAAGTACATAAATGGTTGATATTTGCATTTCCTTTCAGAGTGGCTAAGAAATGAAGCAATGAAACCCTTGTTAGGTTTTCCGATTGTGGAGATTTAAGTAGTTTTGGAGATAGTGTCTAGTAAATACATTAGCAACCAGCTCATCATAGATGATGAAATTCTGCACCAGCCAGAATCAAATGAAGAATTTCATTCAAATGCTGTTTACTAAGTCTTCAATCTTAGAGTTCTGGGTTAGATTGATTTGTAGTGTTTTTTTAATTCAGTGTAAATGAGTTAGGATCAGGCACTAATGGACCAGTAGTTGCTTTTACACTAACACAACTTTAAGGAGTGAGAGGACAAGAGGATGTATTCTGATACTGTAATGTGAACAATTCTGATGCATTCTGGAATCCTGACTTTTAGCATCTCAGAAAATGAGTTTGAAGGGTATGGATTCCACTGTTTTTTCCACTGTCAGTGTGCTAAAGGTATTTACTGAAACATTATACACAAATAACGAACATTCACTGAATGCTGTCAGCAATCATTTCAAAATGGTACTATTCCATAATTCAGAAAACATCCCTTGTTGACAGTTGTTTTAAGTGTTATTTTTCTTTTTTTGAGAATAGAACATTTTTAAGAAATATTGCCAAATATAGATACAAGTGTTTTCACACCATCTTGCTCATTTTAATTATTAAACTTCTATGTGCAAATTTTCAGCAAAGTGACATTTCTTTTGTAGCAACATTAATATATAGTTCTGTGAAGTTGTGATTTTCTTTAATCTACACTAATCTTTCGCAAAAAACATTGCATTATACAATATATTAGGTCTGAATCTCATTTTCATTATGATCCTTTTTAAGAATGGTTTAAGAATAGTTTTTCAGTTGTCCAGTGATGTTAAGTATAAAAATATTAGCCTACCGATTTTTTACTTTATCTTTTAAGTCATAAAATATCTTCAGACCCAAATGGGAATATTCATTTTAATTTACTACTCCTACATCAAATATTTTTGTTTATATATTTGCAGTTTCTTTGCCATAGAAAGCTATTATTTTAATTTCTAAGTTTCCTACACTGGTTTACACTCAAGACTCAACTTGTTAAGTTTTACCGGCTTGCAATGTGAAAATGAGTTCTTTTCCCCAATAATCCCTACTACCGCCTGTAACATTGCACATCAATGCTTCTTGAACTGTGTGGGTTTTATTTTTTTGGCCCCAGTTTAGCGACTTGGTGAGCATTTTCAGGTTAGAGAAAGATATGCATGAGGAACAAATTTACTACTCTGTTCTTTTACATTTCAAATTTGGATAATTTGTCATATTCATAGTTTCCTGTATAATAGTATGCTTGAGTGGAAGTTTGATTAACTATTGTGAATGACAGTTTTACTCAGATTATATATATATATGAATGCCCTGAATGAGCCCCTCTTCTCCTAAACATCCCTGTGCACTCTCTGCTTTCAGAGTTTTTTTTTTTAAGTGAATAACAGTGTTTGTGTTTGGAAATTGCTGTGGAGGCTTGTTTTTGTCGACCTGGTCATGTCTACAGCAGCGTTGCTTGTGACTGTTCTGCATTAACACCTGAGCTTGCGTTTTGACAGGACGCTTGTTGTGCATTGCTTGTGCATGTAGGCGTTCTGCTTGTCGTTGTCTCGTCGGAATAAGAGGCTCTGTTAATCCGACTATTAACATGCTTTGGTATAGTGTGTAGTTCTGCATGTGTATGCAGCTATATATGTGTATTTTTGCAGCACGCCCCCAGTCTAAAAGAGGCCACCGTAAAACTGCTTCATTTGGCACCATTCTGGATGTTCCCAAGATCTACATATCAGGTACCAGTGCTAACAACTGGGCTCAACGTTGGCTGGGTAGCTGGCTTGTCTGAATCAGCAGTTTGGTTTGCTGGTGTGATTGTTTCCCTCAGTGCCTGTTGCTCCAGGTGGTGGTTTCTTGCTTTTGCGCTATCCCTGTATCTTAAGAAGCTTGATTTCCCTGCCCTGGTAAAAGTGATTCACAAACGGCTAACAACATATTCTATTATAAGACAAAATGTCAGCTGTGTTGGAAGACAAATATTGTAATTTTATGCTAAATGAATAGTAGCTCTTTTTAATCAGCTTTATATATAAAAGAAAATGTGACGGCTGACTAATGTGTTTTCAATGTAAAATATGATTTTGGCCCTGTTCTATAACAGACAGCCTAGATTATAAATTATATTTTCACTTCAAATACATATAACAGTACAAGATTTAGGTAATTGTGGTGTTTTTTCCTACAAAGGTTCATTGGATCATGTTAGGTTTTATCTTTGTAGCTTTTAATAACCAGCTGCTTGAAATATTGTTTTGAACAAATACCAGGAGAAAGGAGATACTGTTTAATGATTCTTTGATAGTGGATTGGTTTTCTCATATCTGGAGCAACATGTACATGCAGCTTTTAAGCTTTCTTCATGTTTTGTGTTTCTTAATCCACATCATGTAACTTAATGGTTTTTCTTTGCAGCATGCTGCTTATGGAAGTGATGAATAAGTCAATAGTCATTTATTTTGTCACTTTTCAAAAATGATACAATGCATGACTAATGTTCCCTTTTGTCCATCAGACATTTCACCAACAAAATTACTGAGCACAACCATTTAAATATTGCTAAATTCATAGATTTTTTTTATTTATTTCTTAAATCCTTTTCAAAAACTATTCCATTTTATTTTTCTTCAGAAATCTCAACTTTTTGTTGGTTTTCACTATAATATCCATCCACTGTGCTTTCTGAATGTGTAATATCTGTTGTTTAGTTCACATATAGTCTTGTGCAAGAGCTACAGACAAAGTATTACACAGAGCTACCACATCATGCAGTACAATCCAAGACCACCTCGTTAACTTTTAGTTTCTGGAAGACTGTCTACAATTCTCTGATTATTCTCCTTAATTTCGAGTTGTCAGGGGAAAAACATAAAGTGTAGTTTCAAGTCCCTTCATTGAAAGTGGATTGTGAGTGAGATGTAATGCATTAAGGGTTTTCATCCAATTAATATTGCATTTAGTTTACTAACAGTTTAGTACTACTGACAGTTTATCCAACTTAGATTTTTTACAAATCTTGCAGTGTTTTGCAATTAAAAATTGCAGCTTCCTTTGTGGACTTTTTTTTTGCAGTCTGATATAAGAAGTACTTTCACCTGTATTTTAAACACTTATTCTTATTCTGACCTATATTCCTCCTTTTGCAAAGCTTTTGCAAGCAGTTGAATGGATTTGTAATAAATATACCAGCTGTGGTTTTGGAAGTGGTTTTTAAACCAGTATTCAGGCTTTAAGAAATACTTATTTGTTAGGAAATTATAAATGATTGTTCTCAGTTTCTCCAAAATATAGCTTGAAAAATATTTACAAAAAAAGATTGTGTGCACTTCTGTCCTGTTTACTGTGGGCTAAACTGGCCTTTTATTTGCAAGGTCTCCTTCGAACCATGGGGCTCAGGGTGGAGCACTCTTTAAATTTCATTTTTATCATAAAATGTAGGTGAATGAAGCATCATCCTAGCACATCAGACATGAAAACAATTTTTTTTAAAAATCCTGCACTCTCTTCTGGCCATTTCCTTCCAATTAAGTCATTTTCCAAGCCAGCACTTCCTGGTCTCAAGAGGTAGTGAACTAGATCGACAATTCGCTCAGTGGCAGTAATAATGTTTCTGAGCAGCATCTCAGCTGGCCTGTACTTTTGGGGGGGCTGGTAGCAGAGCTAACCAATATTTGGTGTAGTAGCTGGAACTGGAAAATATGGGGGATCTTTTTTTCTGGCATTTCCATGTTCTCCCCAGGGCTTTGTGCGTTTTTCTAGGTGCTCTTGCTTCCTCCCAGAGTCCAAAGAAATGCTGGTCAGGTTACTTAGTGTCTACATTTAAAGTGAGTGCAGGTTTGTGTGTCCCGTGATGGAAAGTAAATGTATTGTTTACTTTGAAGCCAATGTCTGGGAAGAGCTTTTTTGGAGGATCCATAACTTGGTACTGTATTCTCTTTTGGCAGTTCACTACTCAGGAGATCGGTTCTTGGTTATGTGTTTTAAGTGTGCTAGAAAGACATTCGTAATAATAGAACGGTGTAATCTTGTTTTGTATCAGCAGAGGGCAGTATTTGCTACAAAAAATGAAAATGACAGTGAAACTTGCATGACAGGAGTGTGTTACTTTTAATGACAATATTTTCTCATAGGTTTTCTTTGCAGTACAGGGTCTGACATTTAGCAGTAATGAGTAACCCCTTGTTTATATACTACTTTCATTCCAAAGGGTCTGAAAAGGAATGACCAAGTATTCAGAACCAGGACAACAATTTGATTCATCTCATTCTAAGAATGTCACATGCAATTGGAGCACCTCTGGTCCACCAACACCACTTACAGCATGCATCTGCAGCCTTCGTCCCGGAGAGCCTTGATCCAGCAGGTTTCGTAGGTCACCATCACATCCCCAGTTTCAAAAAGATGTTGAACAATTACACTGTGGTCAGTTAAACAGGTGAATTGTCAAGCAATTCAGAGATCATTTAGGTCTAAAATTTAACTGCAGCTCGGCACTCAAGGGCCAGAATTTTCCTGATTGAACAGAATTTCTGTTTGATTTATTGGTAGCTCACGGGTGTTGCTAGTCTTTCAAAACTGGTTACCTACAAGGCTTACTGGATTGGGGCTCTCTAGGACTCCTCACCTATACCATCCCTGTACTAATCAGGCCAAAACGTTAGGCCTGTGATGTCAATAGGCCACAATTACACCTTATAGCACTGAACTGTTTAAGAGTACAACTGAAGTGGGATGAAACCTAAAGATGGAAGGTGGGTCAGTTTAATTTAGTTATTAAGGCAGATCCAAAATGGTATTAAATAGTTTTTTTTTCCCTTTCTACTTGTTTTTACTTGCAAGTGTATCCAATCACCTCATTACTCTCATTGTTTTGATTATTTCAGCATGTTTCATCCTCTGAAACAAAAATTACTGAAAAGTTGGTAAATCATTTTTTAATGATTTTGTTTTGCAAAGTTTTCCATCATCTAAAATACATTTTGTAGTTAAAGGCATAGAGTGCATTGAAATAGTAGAAAAGATCTGCTCTGAGGCATAAGATGTTGGTCCCTTTTGCAAAACTGAATATTTTATTTTATGTGCTTAGTAAATAACAAATCTATTACATTTACACACAGCTGCATTTGAAATTTAGATTTTTTGTTTTATGTTAGGCAAAATCTGTAATGATCCCAAAGCTTCACAATATTGTACTTATTGTAAGTGCAACTTATTTATATTATTTGTGTGGAGTAAGGGTGGCTAGCCCTGGTCCTAGGGAGCCTCACTGTCAGATTATTAATTTGTAATGACTTGAAAAGACTTGAAAAACTTGAAAAGTTCTGATCAGTTTTGCATGAAAACAGACTTGAATGGAATCATCAACAGTTGTCACTAAAGTGGTAGAAGCTGTGTTCTTCTATTCTAGTTTCTGTAAGGCACTGCACATTGATTATTTATGATAGGTGACCCATCTATCATTGATTTCCTAAACATTTTGAGCATTTTTTTATTTGTGGCTCTTCACAACTACAACTGACCTCTCCAGGAACAGAGGAATGAGTTAATCATGTTACACTGAGGAGTGAATCAGGCCTTATTGATATAACAGGACTGGTGTGTTATTGCATTTAGTATCCCTGCATTATTGTGTTGTTTACTAAAGGAATACATTTAATGTGGTTGACTAAATATCGGCATTAGAAATTTACACAAGAAATTCTAAACAAGGTTTTGTCACAAAAGAGCATCTTAAAACATGGCAGAATTTTTTTTGAACACTTTTGAACTTACATGGCCATTATGAACAATCATCGACAGATTTTCATCCCCTTACGTCCTCTTTTTTCCTGGTTATTTTCCCAAATGTTGAGATCAGTCACAAATGAAAGTTTGTTTTTTACGAGTTTGAAAGTGTAGGGAACTGCAAGAATTTCCTTTAAGGCCAATATTAATATTTTCATTTTATCTGTATGACCTTCTAGGGAAGAATGTAGTTAAAAAAGGATAATATTAAGGATTTGTGTACTCTAATCCAAAAATAGGTGCTTTCAGTCTTTTGCTCTGCATGGAAATTCACTACAGATTACAGAAATCAATTGATAGTTTTTCTTTGGGTGAAGAGAGTAGTCAGACCATAAGGCTGTCATTGTCTGATAATTGCCAGCAGGTGTGGCAAGAGAGATTACAGTATTCTGTGTTAATAAGTTCATAGCAAGACGTGACTCTTAGGACATAGTTAGGGCTCTCTTTCCAGCAGAGATGGAACTATTTATATACCTAAGCCAGATAGATGGAATTTGTTTACTTTTGTTCTTACGTAGTAAGCCAGGTTAGACCTCTTAAAGAGCAAAAGGACTGCAAGCAATATCCCCAGGAGCTGAGCAGAGCCTGAGACCTTATATTGCCAATCTTGCTGTGAAAACTGCTTAAGTGAAAACCTAACATCACCAGCTCTGCCCCCTACACAAATGGATCTGTCCAAACACGTGACAGAAAATGGCAGAGGAGAGTAAGGTAAACTATTTGTGTGGTAGGAGTGGTCAGTGTGTGAGGGGCTATGCTGCATGTTGACAGGCCAGCATTTTTTGAGTTAAATCTCTGCAGCTGTCCTTCTGTCTCGCTCTCTTCTTATTACACTGTCCCTCCCTCTATGGATGTGTAGAGCTCCCATCAGAAGCAGGCACTGGTTCTCAGTGGCACTTACTGTTCTGTTCTGTGTTGTGTCTTCGTTAATTAGCAAGCAGTGAACAACAGAGGCGCAGATCTGTGCAGGACCTTCCAGGAATAGGAACAGAATCCAGTCAGGTAAGGTGGTTTAACCCTCTAACTGTGGAAGGGCCTCTTCTGTCTAAATACCACGGCCTTAAAATGGAATGTAAAATATGACGTGTTGCCGTAACATAATCAAAAAACAATCATAAGAAAAAATAATCATTGTACTGATCTCCTTAGAAAATCAGACATGAAGATGCATTGTATAATTCAGTCTCTTTTCCCCTCAACGGTTTTTATTTTATCCGGTAGTAATTTTTTTTTTTTTTTTAATTCTGTGCCATGTGGTGTTGAATCCTACACTGGAAATTTGTAAAAATGGCAACACCTACAGCATTCAGAAATTGCTTAAATGTCCAGCAATGCAACATCTGTCAAGCTATGTTAAGGGGTAAAGAGCAGAAAAAAAACAGAATACGTGGTAACTGAGGGTTACTCTGTACAGCCAGAAAGCAAAGCATAAAAAGCCCTTGAAATCTATAGCATTCCTTGTGCCCTCCATCATCCTATTGGCTTTGGGTGTGCTGCTCTGATGTCCTCAGAACAGCATACTTACTGTACTTCACAGGTTTCCAGTCTACCCTCTACTGAAGTTATGGTGAAAGCGTACCAGGGTTCACAGCAAGAGTACAGTTACGCTAAGCAAAATGAGGTACCAGCAGGCAAGGTTCAGAGTCAGGATTTTCAATTTTTATAAATTGTAATAGATGATTTTACTTCATTCTAATAAGTTAAAAATACAGCCTGCGTTAACTTTTCTCACTAACAGTAGATGTACGTGTCCCCTTTGTTAAAAGATGTATTCTTGAATTGGCATACTTCAATCCCTTAGACTGAGCTAAAGAACTTCCCTGACTGTCCGTCACATTGTGGACCTTCTTACTCCGGCAGAACTGAATGACGATTAGGGAGTATTGGAGTACGTGGGTAGTTCCCAGTTTTACTCAGCAAAGCCTGTTCCTCGTGTTCTGCCAAGATGCTAAACCATGAGGGGACAGAGTTGCGGTGGATTAACCCTCCCTGCCCTGCACGTTCTCCAGTGGGAATCGCTGCCGTGTTGTTGGGCCCACCAGTCCTTGCTGTTGAAAGACTAATCAGCCAGGACAGCCTTTGTTGCTCTGTATCTTTCCCTTTCCACTGCACTGATTCAAGACAAGAAATATTCCAGTTCTGCATACTTTATTCTTAAACAAACGCATGAGTAGAATTTGTTTTTAACTGTGTGAATGGCATGATTTTGTTTGACAGATTGCAGAACATGTTTTCCCAAAAAAAACACTTCCTAAAAATGTATGCTGTTGTTCGTTTAATTTTGTATATTTTATCTTATCTTCTGTTTTTACAGTATTTTTATATATATTTTAATAAATGATTACACGTTTGACTAAACGGTGGATTCAAGAATTTTTTCTTAAATGTACCGTTTGATTTTAAAAGAGGTCTTATGTAGTAGAATAAGAAATGGAAAACATACTCTATTATTGAACATACCCTTATGAAACAGCACTAACATTCATTCTTCGTTTTGTTGGGTAATATTTTTACTGCGTTGACTAAAATTGAATAAAGCAGGAAATGACCTGCTACTGTAACAGTTAAACTCTTTTCAGCTTTTTTCCCTTCTCTTTTAAAGATAGGCTTCCGCATAAGATGTGATGAATTTGTTCAGTATATTATGAGTATCTTTTTAATTAATTCTACTTGTAATGAGTTTTTCTTGACCCCAATTTACCCCTGGTTTTCATTGCTCTTTAGCAACTATTGCTGAGCATGCCAGTGTAGTGGGGGCATTGCTGCAGTTCATCTGCACCTCCTAGACACCTAGGCTGGTGCAACTCTTACACCAACCAGCTCTGGTGAATGTGCCTTCACAGGTTTTTTTTGCATCCACAGCATAAGTGTCATGTTCTCATCACATTCTCATCTTGCAAAAAAGGTGTTGTGACAGGAGTCACACGAGGACATGCTTCTTGTCGTGAATGCGGACAACGAGTGTTGTCCTAGGACTTGATCAGTACGACACTGTGCAGTCATGCTGTCATCAGCCTTGATCACATGAGGTTCTGTAGAGACTTGACACTATTGCTCAGACCAGTACACCTAGAACTCCCTATTGACTGGTCTGTTGTACACAACAAGTAGCGTATCGTTCTGCACTGTATGTGCTGACGTCAGTCAGAGTGGCCAGTGCAAAACCTTGATTCATTGCTAAAATGACAGGTTCGCTGCTGGCATGTCCACCTGAGGTGACTTTGTTCAGCCTCAAATTTAGTAGTCAAAAGGTGCTCTTCTGATGATAAGATGGGAAACATTGGGGGTTTTGTGTGATTTTCCTTCTAGATTTTTACCAGGTTTCACATCCAATGGATTAAATCACCTCGTCACTCAAGCCCACTTATTTGTCTTGCCAACGAGGTGATTTAGTGCTTATAGAGCAGTCATTCAAGTGCATCATGGTCATTCATGAATAACCAAATTAATCACATTGACAAAAAAAACAATAATTATCCAAATTCGGTTGGCTTTATTTTTTTAAAATGCATGATTAGTTTCTTTTCATGCTCAGTTAACTTACCTGGTAGTCTCTTACTTTGGCAAGTTTCTCTAAGGCCCTGTACAGTGCAGAAGCTTCACCAACGTTGGAGAAACGAGGGTGCAGGAAGATGTGTAATTCACTGATAGCACCCAGCTGAAGAATAGTTAGAAAATGTATACAAAAATACAGCGATGGGTTACGTTTTTGCTCACTATATTTTCTTTACTTTTATTTGTTTTAATTCAGCTTCTTATTTCTTCCCCAATTGTGGTGTTTTTAGGGAAGTAGGAACAGCAGCCGGTCATCCAGTCCCAGTGTGAGGATGATCACTCCGACAGACAAGGCCAGGAGTTTAGGCTTCTCACCTGATGATTCTGCAGGTAGAACCCAGTTTCACGTTAATCTGAAGTGTGCATTTTGTTTTGAATGGAGATTAAAGACATTTCCACTTCTTTTTTGAAGTGAATCTGTAAAATGTCTGACAAAATGTCAGTCTTATAAGTGCCATAATACCTCTTGTAAAGTTGTATTTTTTAAATGCAAAGCACAGTAAAGAAATCACAAGTGTTTTCATCTTTTCAAGGAAATACAATTTCAGCTTCACAGAATTAATTTGTAATTTTAGACACTTTAAAGAAGTCATCTTAATATGTGTGTAGTCTTTAGGTGCATAAAAAATCTTTTAATAATCATTTAATACATATTTACATGTATACATGTTTTAAATAGCCTTTTGCATCAGGTTTAAAATAAGATATGCTAGAAGGGGAAAGTCTGAATACAAGAGAGAATTACGTCGCAGGTACTATTGTGCCAGGTTACATTGAGGGTTGAAGTAGATGTTGATAATATCAGCAAACAATTTTATTCTGAGTGTCGAGAGCACAATGTATGCTCTCCAAATCTCCTGCATATGATACTTAGCCTTCTAGCTCTCTCTTAAGGAAACATTAACTCATTCATTGCACTTAATGGAAGCTTCAACAGTTCTGCTCGGGTGGCGGTTGGTAACTTAATTGGCTACATTTTGTATAATGTTGTCTAATGTTTCTCCTTTAATTCTTAACTTCACATCTCCTAGATACCAATGGGTCTGACAATTCTATCCCCATGGCGTATCTCACTTTGGATCACCAGCTGCAGGTACCTTTCTGGTAACTGTGTTCACAAATAAAAACGGCGTCTCTTGCTATGCATTTTCACTTTCACTTTTAAATGTACCCAGTATTCCAAATTTTTTAGCAGTTTGCAAAGTAATGTTAACCGGGAGTTTTTGTTTTTCAACATTCAGCAGTTGCTTCCTGTGAACTTGGATGCATTTTTATTGTTTCCTGAAAAGAAATTGTGGTAAAATTTCCCGTGTGATCGTTTGGCTGTGGTTTGGCTGAATTTCACAACCAAAAGATGATTTCAAGGACGCTGAAATTTGAGTATGTTAATTTAATTAAGGTTGGATTACTTCTTGTTGCAAATAGATGAAATGATGCTATATAAAAAGTGGAATGTAAATATAAGTCTACTTTGGCAAAGCAAGTGAGACATTTTGATTTTGGAGTGTATTTTTAAAAGCTTAGATGATTCTGATTGCTGGTATAAATACATGTGCATTGCAGTCTAGCAAGTCCTAAGCTGCCGTACCAATTAATGGCAACATGTGTGTTTATTTTCAGCCACTTGCTCCTTGTCCAAACTCCAAAGAGTCCATGGCAGTGTTTGAACAGCATTGCAAAATGGCGCAGGAATACCTAAAAGTTCAAACGGAAATTGCATTGCTGATACAGAGAAAGTAAGTGAAGAAAAGGTTGAAATAGCAAAAGATCAGAGGTGTCAATCATTCATTTTATTGTCTTTTAAGATGTGTCACTATAGATCAGTCAATGCACTAGGGCAACTGTGGTAACATACAAGTCATAAACGGTTACACAAATAAACATACAGTTCGAGTTTGCATCATCCTTTATTAAACTCATTTTGAGGCTCTGAAAGCTGTACAGGTTCACCGCAGCTCAAGCCAATTTTGGAACAATGCTAACAACTATTTCTGACCTATTATTTACGTTCTTAGTTTTATTTTGTAGTACTTGCTTGGAATATAACATGTCTTACTTAAAGGAGCTGCTTTTGATCATCATAGAATAGTTTACATAATCGATTTTTGTCACGTTTAGAAAGCAGGTGATCTTAATAGGCGTATTAGAGTTGTGTTGCTTTCAATCATGGAGGGACGTGACATAATTAGGAGTTCAACGCCAACGAAAGTCCTGTCAGCTTTTAAGCGTCTATATTTAAAGGAAGGACTTTAAAGGAAAGCCTATGATACATCCTGAAGAAGACTATCCAAGGCAATTACTGAATTTAGGCAACATGTCCAAGACAAACAGAGCTCCTAAGCAGTGAACGCCAAGTTTGTCTGAAGTCATGCCTATATTTTAATTACATGTAGTCATTTTTATTTATAGATGATGAGTTGTGCTGAATTAGGAATGCCGCTTTTCTAGAATCTTTTGTGTTCAGTTCGGTATTTACTCTGCTTTTACATTACACAGACTTGCTAACCATATGCGATTTGGAAAATTGAGATACTACCATGTTTTGCAGTAGAATTAGATGTGAAGAAAATCTGTTAGCTATTTAAGTGAAACGATGAGATGTCCTTAGTACTTACAATAGTTTCAGCATTGAACACACCCTATACCCACGTTTTATAAAATTGCAGTAAAACATTTTGGTAGTTTTCCCTTGCTTGGAATTGTGGATTTGATTAAAAGATGTGTGAATCTGATAAGTTAAAAAATAGAAAAACATGCTTAGTAATGTTATAAATGGATACTTAATGTTTAATCCATTTTTGTAGGAATATTGCTGACACTTATTGTCTGTTGTCAGAGTAAAAACATTTAACAAAATTCCCTTCTTCCCTCAAAATAACAGTATAACCAAACCGAAGACCCTTCATTATTTCAGGCCTGTTTATAGTAGAGTCTGTCAAGATCAAGTCTTTAAAACAAATACTGATGTTTTAAAACAATAATAAAATATTAGCTTTTAAATCTTGCATGCTGCTTTTTTGTATGCTGCTTTGTCTGAGTATTTGAGACCGAACTAGTAAAATAAGCCATGCAAGTGTACTAGTAATTTCAGACCGACTGACTTGTTCAAGTGTTTTTTTAAAGGTTTTAAATTAGAATTTTTTTAAAATGTCCAGTAGATGTCTTTATCTGGGATAACTTACAATAGTACTTACAAATGTATTTGTCCTAAAACTATAGATATGAAATTTACAATAAAGCTGATGGATATACAGCGTATATACCCATCATTACATATAAATGTCATTACAAGCTGAAAGAGCAATACACACATCCCACCTGGAAGGCAAGACATGGGTATTGTAGCAACACAGCTCTAAATGGCAAGGAATTAGGTAGGATTCAGCAATGAACGCACGCTTTAACATCCGTGCTGTATTTCAGTCACTTAAACTCTCCTGCAGTGGTAGCTTTCATTTTGTGCTTAACCTGTTCTTAAATCCTGTCTTCCCCAGTTTGTTAGCTGACAACTCTTTCCCTCCTCGACTATTATTTAAGTTTTGTTTTTATTATACGTCCGGTGTCCCGTTGTTCTGTAGTAAAGATGTTCCAGACCTTGGCCCACTTTTCTGCTAGTGAGGGAGATGCTCATGACCTCCACCTGTGCGCTCATCAGTAATCTTAACACTCCCGTAACTTAACACAAGTGTTGCAGGTTTGGTGTTCAAGTCCGCGTTGCCCTCGGTGTCGTGCTTGATGCTGCCTGTCCTGCAGAAGCCAAGAGCACAGTGAGAAATACTGCCAGGTTGTTACACTAGAGTGTCAGGGAATCAAGCACGAAACTTTATACAAGGCCATGCTTTGATCTTATCCATGGCTTTACGTGAACAAGGCTTGTGACCTGTTTTAGCTACTGTATTTCACTGTTGTTTTGTCATTTAAACCAGTGTCTTCACCAGTGTTTAAGAAAGCCTTTTATAGCTTTTTACACTCCATTGCACAAGATTGAAATTGGAAAACCGAAATTTAAAACTTGATTTTTGAGACTTCTTTAGCTTACAGATGTGACAGAGCTTTGCTTACCATGCAAATTCAAGGAAGTAAAACATTTTCTTTAATTCTTTCTGAATTATTTTCAGGAATGAGCTGATAGCTGAATTGGACCAGGATGAGAAAGATCAGCAAAACACGTCCCGCCTGGTTCAAGAACATAAAAAACTTCTAGAAGAAAACAAAAGTCTCTCCACATATTTCCAGCAGTGCAAAAAACAGCTCGAACTTATCAGAGCACAGCAACAAAAGAGACAGGGTACTTCATGATGCCCAGATCTGATGCCTTCCCTGCCCCAAGTCATGCTGCAGATAAATGGACTGCTCACGTTTTGTAATATCTGCTGGTTTGTTTTAAGGATTGTCATCTTTTGTGTGATCTGGAAGCTTATACATGTCTGCCACAGCTTTCACTTTTATTCTTTTTTGAGTGAAATATTAATCCTTGGTCAGTATGACAGAGTTGGTTGTGGCTTTTCTTGCACTGTAAAGAGACCTGTGATCTACTGTGTATAAGCATGCTGCATATAATAATTGGTCTGGGGTAAAGGGTCTGAGTGATGGAGTCAAATCCATCCAGAACCCTGCATAAACGTGTGCTCTTGTATACTGTACATCAAAAATGGTCTCAGAAGTATGTAAAAAGTATACTTCTGTACACTTTCTTGTCAAGGATTTTATGGATGCAATATGGCACACCTTCATTGTTCAGAATCATCCATGCAAAACTTGAGATTTTCTGGGTAATCTGGCATTATGATTATTGAAAAGACATTCTAGATAACCATAACATTCATGGAAATGTCATACGGTATGTTTGCAGCACGTTTTGCCTTGCAGTTAAACATAAAGGGAAATGTGAAGGCTTTTTTGTGTCTAAAATGTGACAAAGAAGTTTCACTGGCCAGTTTACTTCAGTTTACCTAGTTATGTCCATCTGGATCAAGACGTTTGTGACTCTTCGATAAAATATATGAAATACAGCTCATAATTACGAAAAAAATATAACGGCCAACTCAGATATATATTTTTAGCTGGCATAACTGTTCAGCATCTTGTGTCATATAGCCATCTGTAAAAGCCTGATATAGCCTTTTCTCAGAGGTGGGAATGTAAAGAATAAGTTCTTGACAGGACAGAAATACAAAAAATACAGGGGTCGATCACATTCTTCATTCTACATTACATTTCATAATCCTTTTCTTCACTTTTTGGAATCTTGAGACCATAGAACGTGATTAGATGAGTATCAGAGGTCCGTGGTGAAATATCATCAGAGAGAGCATTGCTTTTCTGCTTAGGTCATAGTATTAATTGGATACATCTGGGAGCAGTTACCACACATATTAATGTTGATGCACCTGGGATGTATTTAAAATAAGCAATATGCCTTTCATATTCATCAGGTGTCGCACAATAGTGAGACCTAAAGCCACGTAACCAGTTTGCAAACCTTAGATTTACCTGCATATGTAAAGATGAAATATTTATGTTTTATTCCATGCTAAAAAGACCACCATTATAACAACACATAATAGCAATATCTTTGAAGGAGTAAACTAAAAAGCCCAATGCTACTTGTTGACTGGATCTGACAAGAAATTACATTTCCATGTAATTGAAAGTTCAACTTATGTCATGCTTTCTATTTTCATTTTTACAAAGTTCTTCTTTTTTAAACGTGGACAAAAATGAAGGGTGATTATTTTTGTCCTGTTCCCCATTTCCAGTCTTCTGTTGTTAATAGGCTTCCTCCTTTTTCACAAATGTCTTCACAAGTTGCCTTAAACAGCTTGCTTTTTTATGTAGTTAACTCTTGATCACTTGGTCCAACTTGAAAGCCTGTTAATTATGCACTGTGCCTCATTTCAATATATTAACCACATGAAAAATAGCATGGCTGTTATGACGTAAATTATTTAAAAAATTCTTTATGCGGTGCAGCACTAGACTTGTTTGCTATAATTAATGCTTTTTGTACTGGAAGAAAAATTGGCAAGTATTTATAGCTGAATCTTAGTTTGGAAGTTAGAGGTCCAAAGTGTTGGAACAAGTGATGTACAGAGAAATTGAGCACAATATTTTCCATTCTTTATGCTACATTTTAACATTTTTGATTCTGTGAATGGATATCTGTCTCTGTAAAATACATTGTCGCGGCTCATCTTTCGTAAGAAATGGCGGACTAGGAAAGCTGTACAGTAGATGCAGATTGTGCTTGTTGCACCTAAATCAACACAGGGTACTTGCATATTAAATATGTTGCCTTTTCTGAAAAAACCTGATTATTTTTGCATTGTTTTAAACTGCTGTCTTTGGAAATGTTAAGCTTCAGCTTAAATCTTAGTGCTTTGCTGCCAGTGTGATGTAAATCATACATTTGTAGAGTGTTAGTGTTGTCTGAGTAGGATATATAAGGTTTTCAGGTTACAGCAGTTCCACTACGTAGGAATATATGCTCTTTTTCACCACTGTACACTACTCTTTCCCATTCAAAATGCTGCCATAGACATTGGATTACTCTTAACATTTTGTATTGTACATGATGGTGCTTGCTAAGTATTTTTTACAGTAACTTTAAAAGTTTTACAAGTTTAGGAAGTTTAAAGTTATTGCATTGCAGCTTTTGTTTGTTGTATTATTTGGACAGATGGCAAATTGAATTAGTAAACATGATAAAAGAAACATTTGACTCTTCAGAAAAGTCACCATATTTAACATGCAGATGACCTCTGACCATCACAAGGTGATGTAATAGGGAGAACCTATATGCCTCACAAATTGTACAATTTTTCCTGTGCAGAGAGAACATTCAATGATAGCTTTGTATTTTACGTGACAGCTTCCTCATCTGTGTCTTTATAAGTGCTGTTAAGAACAGGTATGCAGTGAGGTCTTTAGTGGGTTAGATATCACTGAGTCGTCTGTCCACATTTGTTTTTTCATACAACCCTTTGACCTTTATTTCCCCCCATAGGAAAACGGAGGATATGAGCATGTCAATTTTAAAACTGAATTCTCAGATTCTCAGCAGTATGTTTAATTTGGCATGTTTTCAAGCGACCATTTGACAAAATTTTGCACAGTTTAAGAAATTCCATTATGTACAGCGAACGGACCAGCTATCAATTAAAACAAACAAATCTGAAACAAATGAAATGCCATAGGATTGTGCTTTCTCAATCATGGAAAAGGAGAAAGCCTACTTGTGAATCTGAGTACAGTATTGTTAAATACTATGTAGCTAAAACAGTGATGGTGTGTAGTGTGGTTTCTCCAACACAAGCTTTTCCTTTTTTAGGTTTTAATGAAGTTATGGATATATTTACTGTGTACTGTACATAATATTGTTTGATTTCTTGAGCTATGGGAATGAATATGGTGACTATAGCAAACCATTTAAAATAAAATGGATGGAAATAATTTGTTTCTTATTGTTAATACACAAGCTTTAAAATTATTAACCAATGCTTTATGTTTGTAAGCTTTAATGTTTTGAGCACAGCGATTTTCAGTCTGTATATCAATGTATTAAATATCCATCTTTACACACTGGTCATTAAACATATGCAGACACCTGGACAATCATACTGAAGTACAACAAAAAAAAAAACTTTACATTTCTCCGTATGAAAACATCGGCCTTAAATGAAAATACAACAAGGTGCTTTCTGGTACTTTACCTCTAACATTTTTCATCACAGTCCTCACAGCAGACGCTGCTTGTATGTTCTGTGCATGCTGCAATTATTTTTACTTCCGTTACCCCCCAGACTATATACAGTGCAGGTTGTATAAGGTCAATCGCTGTTACTGTTCTTAATGAGAATACAGCATTTTTCTAGCTATTAAATATTTTGTCTGTCACGACCACTGTCTATGTCTAGTATATTCTCACTTCTCAGGTGGGAGTTAGTGAAGCCTTGATAGCTAGTCAGTACTGTTCTGTAAGTGCGGGACGTTGAAGAGGGCATCTTTCCAGTTATGAGCCGAGATCATACTTTTTCACTGCTGCGCTGCTTGGTTGGTGATTTCGGGCAGGATAGAAAGTTTGGTGCATCGGCCAACCGGGAAGAAGGGGTCAAAGCCATGTACAGAGGAGAATATTCTTGCCACATGTGTAGTCTCATTTTTATGGTCTTCAGAGTATAAAGAAGCAGTATAAAGTAGCAATACTTCAGCAGGGGATGCTGGCAGAGAGTGATCGCAAGGTGGGAATTGCTTACTGAAGATTGCCTTTGAGGGCAATTAGCTTCTTGGAGAGTGTTCCCTCCCAGTGTCAATGCTGCCACAATTTTCTACTCTCAACAGCTCAGTTTTTTGGTATGCCACCTGCAAACTGTCTAGTACGAGATCGTCAGGGAGTATGAAGAGAGTTACTGTCCTTTAGGCAGGAGGGAGATGAGAACCTCACAGTTTTGACTGCTGTTGCACGATTAACTAATAAGATTGTAAGTGCTTATACCATGAAAGGAGGGATGTGATTAGATTGGAGATTGAGATTGGAGATCATTAAACTTGATGAGGACGGCTGCTATTCAGGATTCTTGGATTTCTGTAAGCAGGCTTTTGGGCTTTAGAAATTGGCTACATCAATTTTCAGAAGACCCTATCCTAGCAAAAAAATATGGTAGTTCTTGTGCTTAAGGATGACAAGGACTTAAAGTCTAGTCAAATGCTTGAAGATGTTGCCTACATCAACCTTTCCCTTTGCTGTACATCAAAGAGTCCCTGGGTTTGCGCATGTGGAGATTAGTCTGAGCTCCTAGTTGAGTTTAGGATAGATGGTGGCTTGTGAAGAACCAGTAGGTTCCATGAAAAGGGGCATCCATTAACCCTTTTATTCAGTAACCTACTCTTTGCAGATGATGATTTTGTTGCTGAATCACCTGAAAACCTGCGAGTAATGATGATTAATTTACAGTATCTGAAGAAGTCCCATAATTTGGAATAGTTTGCAGCATACAGAGAGCTATGATCTTGTCTCCACCATCATCACTACTTTAAAATTAACAAGGAACCTGATGCATATGTTAGAAAAGCCTCTACCATCTTTGGAAAGTTTAACACACTTGGAAAAACAGGCTTTTTCCTTTCATAATTAGTGTCTTTTCTGTAGACCCTGTGTCTTGAATACATCACTGTGCTGATCTGAAACAAGGGTTACTTGTTACTTGCAGGACAAGAATACAGGTTAAAGTGTTTTGGTCATCTGCATCTTCGCTAAAGTCTGGGCAGAGACTGGAGAGAGCATGTGACAAACAATCATGTCCTCCACATCACTGGCCCACAATCAATCCAAACATTGCTGAACGCCCAAAGGCCCTGCTGGCTAAGCTCTATTGAACAAGTCCTGTGATGGCAGCCAAAGACCACATGGCTGTCTCCAAGACTTCCCTCTCTCCAGAAGTTCAGGTTTGCAGTCAAGGTCAAGCATGGTCTGGAGAAGTTCAACTTATGTACACTAAGACTGGAATTGTGCTTCTACAGGCATCATTAAGAAAGTTACTTTATATTCAAATAGTAAATATGCAGCCGTTAAATATACAGCACCTCAATATGGAAGGATTAAGTTAAAAAAATAGTACCAGAGTGGATTCTTAAAACCTCTGAGATAGTATTTTCATTTTGTGGTAGAATAGGAGTGATACCCTCGTATACTGTGGTACAGAAACTTAATTTTTCTCATTAGGAGGAGAAAACTTTCCCACCACTAGATGGCACTATAAGATCGTGTCCATGTCCATCAGCCAGAAACGCGACTTTTTAAAAGCTAAACCCAGTGAACAGCTAAAAAAAATGTTATGTGAGGAGAAATTTTCATTCTCCTTGAAAATGTAAATGGAGTAATTTAGTTACTGTAATAATGTTATACATAGAGTAATAAAACACAGATCATTAACTGAGCTGTGATCTACTCTGGTCTATCTACTTTGCATGAAGTTTTTCTTCCTATAAATCATAAAACACCAAATGTCTGTTTTTCTGACCCATAATAGAATTCTGAAATGACCCCTTGCAGCTGTTTAATTTACAGAATATATATTTATATTTGATGCTGTTTCCACAATCACTGAAGTGTCTAAGGGCAGGTGTGGCCAGATCAGTTATAGCAGAACTCCTTTTCTGTCATGATCTTCCTGGAGTATTTGCAACACGTGTGTCATTTGCTTGGCCATGAGATAATCAGTGGAAATGTGTGCAGGGAATGTGAACATCTTTCACTGGGGTGCTCTCTGCATGGAGAGTGTGTGTTCTTCCCATGTTCGCATGGGTTTCCTCCAGGTGCTCCAGTTTCTTCCCCAGTTCAAAGGCATGCTGGCAGGTTAATTGACTTCTGGGAAAATTGGCCCTGGTGTCAATGTGTCCTACAATGGACGTGGATGCTGCACACTGGTGGTGGTGGAGGGGAGTCCCCATTACCTGTAAAAGCGCTTTGAGTGGAGTGTCCAGAAAAGCGCTATATAAGTGTAAACAGTTATTATTATTATTATTATTATTATTATTATTATTATTATTATTATTATTATTATTATTATTACAATGGACTGGTGTCCAGTCCAGAGTGTGCCCTGCCTTTCACCCATTGCTTGCCTGATAATGGTAAGTATGGTGGCCCTGGTGTCCTCAGTGTTTATACAAACAGGAGTGGGAACGATGTCTACTGCTGTCGATTGGTAATGTGGTGTCTTCTCCTTACAACCTCACATTTACATAGGTCAGCACAGTGACAAGAGGCATATTTTTTAATTCAGTGGAACAAGTCATAGGTTTATTCCATGCTGAAAAGAGAAGAAAGAAAACACAACGTTTTGTCCGTGGAGCCTTGTTCAGGTGTCTGATTTTTTAATTCTGTACATTATTTTTTTAAATAAGGTGATCAGTTATTGCTCTAGTTTCCTATTTTGCTTAGAGAGGAAGGGTAGTAAGTAGAATGGTGGTGCAGTGGTGAGTGTTGCTGACTCACACTGCTGGGGCCTTGGGTTCAATTCCAGACCTGGGCTGCTGTCTGCCTGGAGTTGGTACGTTCTCCCTGTTTTCATGTGGGTTTTTGTCAGGTGCCCCTGTTTCCTCACGGCCTCCAAAGGCACTGCTGGGTTCATTATCTTCAGTGGACTAGGCCCTGGTGTGGGCGTGTGCCTGCCTGTGTCTGTGAGTGCCCTGCTTTGGACAGGTGTCCCATCCAGGATGTACCCTGCCTTGCACCTGCTGCTCGCTGGCATGGACTCCAGCTCCCCCGTCACCCTGAATTGGAAGAAGCATTTACTGTAGAAAATGGACGGATAAATGTGTGGTAGATTTTTTTTCAGTTTGGCACAAGTACAAATAGAGGTCAATTTATTATACTGTATGTGTTTGTCTGCCTCTGACTTTCCCTCCGCTTAGTTTTTCAAAAATTTAAAAACTGTTGAAGGAGAAAGACATATTGTAACTGTCTCAGGAGCTGGTTTCGATCTGTTATGTAACTGAAAGGAAACAAGAGATACAGGTTATACCACTATCAGTCTCTCAGGTTATACAGGTTATACCACTATCAGATTTTGAAGAATACACTGTCTTATGCCATCTTTGGTCCTTGACTCCAGTCTCATGCTGAAATATACTGTAGGCTGTGTAATGTTCGTGGCTCTTACAGTAAAATATTATTCTGAACATTATCATCGGTGGTTAGACCAAGGTCCTCAAGTTATAGTAAGTAATGGAGTGGTTGACAATGATAAATGCTAAATAAAAAATATCAATATTTTAAATCAGTGTGATTTTCCATAACCTGCTATAGTTGTGTGCATATCTGGATTCAGTCAAATCAATATTTCTCTCTGTAAAAGCTGAAAAAGTGCCAGAAAATGAGCCACTGAAGAATACTGAATGATACATCTGAGGGGTAACCTTTATGTAACCTGATAGAGTGGAGTTCTTGATATTGGCTACATTTGAACTATTATAAAGAACTGTTTACAATGTTCTGTACAAAATTATAATTATTATTATCTTGTTTATAATAAAAATCATAACGTCTGTGTTATTTTAAACATATCCATGAGAAAGCCTCAAAGACACGTTTGGGAATCTTTCGCAAGAAAATGAAAAGTTAACTTTGACTTTCATTCAGCGGTTATCTGCAGGTTTCCATGGAAACAGTGGATGTAAAAATAGGCCAGAACAGGGAGAATTGTACAACTACCTTTTAAGTCTGTGGCCATAATTTAGGTCATAATATTTATTTAGGAGGGCTATAAATTTTGCCAGGTTCCTGACTGATCCACGAATGTGTCAGAATTAGTACTAGGATTGGCATGTGGCTGCAGGTTATTATTCTAAGATCTGTAGGAATTTCAAAGAAAGGAAACTGCTTTAGGTTTTAAACAGAGACAGAAAACACTTTTATATTATTATATATGTCACTATTTGAGACAGTGACA